GGTGCTTTTCCATCTACAATCAGGTTGTTAATGCTCTGATTAAAGAAATCACTTGGCTTTGAAGCAAAAACACGTCGATGTCTTTTTTAACACCTTCCACATTTACATACGTTTTCCCATTAAGATGGTGTTGCAGCGAACGAAAAAGATGGTAATCTGTTAGTGCCATATCTGGAGAATATGGTGGGTGGGGGAGAACTTCCCAACCCAACTCCATAATCTTGTGTTGTGTCAAACGTTCCACATGTGGACGTGCATTGTCGTGGAGAAGAACACCTTTCCGATTGACGAGTGAAGGGCGTGTCTGATGAAGGACTTTATTTAAACGTTCCAGTTGCTGACTGTAGAACTCTGCATTGACAGTTCGCTGTGGATTGAGGAGTTCGAAATGAATTACTTCTTGGCGTTTAATATTTGCATAAAGAATCCATTTTTCATCACCGGTGACAATTCTGTCCAAAAATGGTTCACGCGCATTACGTGCCAGTAGAGACAAAGCAACGTTCACACGTTGGAAACGATGGTCAACGGAGAGTTCGTGAGGCACCCAAACACCTTCTTTATGGAGTTTTCCCATATTCCTTAAATATTTATGTATTGTTTCATGAGAGACATGCAATTTCAGGGCCATTTCACGAGTGTCTTTCCTTGGGTTAGACTCAGCAAGCGTCTTCAGAGCATTATTATCAATTCCAACATGTCGGCCCCTGCCATCATAGTTTTTAAGGCTAAAGTCGCCTGAACGAAGTTTGCTGAACCATCGTTGACATTTACGAACGTTCAAAGCATTTCCATAAACCTACTTTGATATTCTTTGTGGCTACAGAGGCGTTGTTTCTCTTGTATTCAAACAGCATTACACGCCAAACGTGTGTCTCGTGGTGAGCCATCACTATAAGGGATTAACGTATACTAAACTTTACACATTATATAGGCTACACTAACGTGACGTTTAGGCGGTTCGTTTAACTATTATACGTGATGTATGTTTTTTGTTGTTTTTTTTTGGGGGGGGGGTAATAAAAGTGTTCGAAAACGCGACATTAATTTCTTGACGACATAATATACATATGTATGTGTGTGTGTTTTCCTCAGCATAGAAACAAAGGCACTTTTACTCTCCATTTGATTTTTTTAAAATTAAAATTAAAATGTAAAGGATGTTAAAAGCTACTAAGCGCTACAGGACAAATGTTGACTGTAAAAATATACAGGACACGAAAAGCCGTGAAGCAGTACAGTAAATTTACTAACTGTAAGATATAAAGGACACTGAAAGCTGTAAAGCAGGACTGTTGAAAAACTAACTAGAAAAACTGTTAAAAGCTACAAAGCAATACAGTAAAATACTAACTGTAAAACATAACGGATGCTAAAAGCTACAGAGCAGTACAGTAAAAATACTAACTGTAAACATAAAGGACGCTAAAAGCTGCGAAACAGTACAGTAAAATACTAACTGTAAAACATAACGGATGGTAAAAGCTACAGAGCAGTACAGCAAAAATACTAACTGTAAAACATAACGGATGCTAAAAGCTACAAAGCAATACAGTAAAATACTAACTGTAAAACATAACGGATGCTAAAAGCTACAGAGCAGTACAGTAAAAATACTAACTGTAAAACATAAAGGACGCTAAAAGCTACAGAGCAGTACAGTAAAAATACTAACTGTAAAACATAAAGGACGCTAAAAGCTGCGAAGCAGTACGTCTAAGTCTTCGAGCCACAGTGCTTATATAATCTTAGGCGTCTTAATGATTTTTAAGGTCAATATTTACATAAGTTTAAAATCGACGGAGTGCTTTGATTTCTTTCTTTCGTCGTTCTAAAAAAAAAGATGCAGTTTATTGAACTTACGTAAAGTTGTCATTTCAGTACTGAAGGTCGATTCATACGAAAATAATTACATTTCAGTGAAAATTAATATTATGTGTCACAGGCTTACCAGAGAAGTACAATTTAGCTTTCGTAAATTACACCGTAATCATATATAGCTTAATTTAATATCACTTAGTGTAATTAGGTAGGAAAAACCTGTTGGTGGCACTAATAATATTGTGGAAACAAAGAAGACCGGGAATTATTGAATTGATAATCTGGGTACCCAGAATATACATAATTCAGATACGTTGAAAATGTACCTGTAAATTTTGTTAACGCAAATATGGTTTCATAATTGGTAAAAAGACGATTATAGTTAAAATATAACGTTAATAAAATAAGGTCACGATCGGATATTATTAAAGTGAACTTTGGAAGAAATGGCGTCCTCCCATTAGTGTGAGCTGGCTTTTTTTTTTTTTGCTTCATAAAGCCTTGGGCCCGGCATGGCCAGGTGTTAATGTTGTCTCGACTCGCAATCTGCGGATCACGGGTTCGAATCCCCGTCCCACTAAACATGCTCGCCCTTTCAGCCGTGGGGGCGTTATAATGTGACGGTCAATCCCACTATTCGTTGGTAAAAGAGTAGCCCAAGAGTTGGCGGTGGGTGGTGATGACTAGCTGCCTTCCCTCTAGTCTTACACTACTAAATTAGGGACGGCTAGCGCAGATAGCCCTCGTGTAGCTTTGCGCGAAATTAAAAAAACAAAACAATGCCTTATATTAACTAACCTTAAAATGTCGCATCGTTTACGCTGTGAAGTTAGTAGCTATGAAAAGGTGCCCTTTTTATTTTAACCGCTTCCTGGCCATGTGCAATAAAAATATTTTTGAATACCATTTGGTAGAGTGTAGGTTTTGGCTTTATGAATGTTTATTTTCTCAACACTATGAATGCCAAAATATTTGAATTAAGTGTAAAGTGTGCAGTTTTATATCGGTCCATAATTAGAACTAACTTTAGCCTAAATTGTAAGAAACCTGTTATATTCTTATGAAGTAGCAGTGACGGTTGACCTGCCTGATGTGGATCACACTTGTAATAGTGTGAACGTGTGTGAAAGTGATTCCTTAGGGCATATTTGAAGTAGCAACGACGGTCTATATGGCTGATGAAAATCACATTTCTAATAGTGTGAACGTGGTTCCTTAGGGCATATTTGGAGTAGCAACGACGGTCTATATGGCTGATGAGAATCACATTTCTAATAGTGTGAACGTGTGTGAAAGTGATTCCTTAGGGCATATTTGAAGTAGCAACGACGGTCTATATGGCTGATGAGAATCACATTTCTAATAGTGTGAACGTGGTTCCTTAGGGCATATTTGAAGTAGCAACGACGGTCTATATGGCTGATGAGAATCACATTTCTAATAGTGTGAACGCGCTTCCTTAGGGCATATTTGGAGTAGCAACGACGTTCTATATGGCTGGCGAGGATCACACTTGTGATAGTGTGAAGTTGTGGTAAAAGCGCCCCCTTAGAACATATTTGAAGTAGTAATGACGGTCTATATGGCTGATGAGAATCACATTTCTAATAGTGTGAACGTGCTTCCTTAGGGCCTGTTTGGAGTAGCAACGACGGTCTATATGGCTGGTGAGGATCACACTTGGAATAGTGTGAAGTTGTGGTAAAGCGCCTCCTTAGAACATATTTGAAGTAGTAATGACGGTCGATGTGGCTGATGAGGATCATACTTGTAATAGTGTGAACGTGTGTGAAAGTGCTTCCTTAGGGCATATTTGGAGTAGCAACGACAGTCTATATGGCTGGTGAGGATCAGACTTGTAATAGTGTGAAGTTGTGGTAAAGCGCCTCCTTAGAACATATTTGAAGTAGTAATGACGGTCGACCTGGCTGATGAGGATCATACTTGTAATAGTGTGAACGTATGTGAAAGTACTTCCTTAGGGCATATTTGAAGTAGTAATGACGGTCGACCCGGCTGATGAGGATCACATTTGTAAATACTGTGAAAATGTATCTGGGTTAAAAATTTACCATTTTAATAAACGAAACTTCAAATGCCCTCATAATTTTGTGTCTTTCAAAGCAAAAATAATAAAAGTTTATCATCTGATGATTTGA